ACCACCATCAGTGAATCTTCTGCCTCTTGATTGGCGACAAAACCATTTGAACTATCATGAGGTGAATTTATTTCAACTGGATAAGCATCATTTTCAAGTGCATTATGATCAGGCTTTTGGCTACCGATATTCGTGTCATTTTTTGCATCGTTGGAGACATAATTAGGCCTCTTCAAAATAACGGAGTAATCAACCTCTAGAAAGGAATTTTTTATTTGCTGAATGAGGTTAGGATCTTCCGTGACCTGCAAAAAACATGTTACAACAAGGCAAAAGTATCATCACAGGTAATTAATGATATCTTGGAAAACATCAGGACGACTAAAGAGACAAATTGAAACTGGACTTACAAGCTCGGTGACTCCCAGCTCAATTACGCCTCCTAAATAGGGAAAGCATACAACAGTCTACAAGATACAAAGAGAGGAAAAGACATTAATCAACTACATACTCCATGGAAAAGGAAAGAATGACATGAATCAGGAGCTGATGCATACTCCTCTATGGCAGCAGAGATTTGTTTCATCCATTTGACATATTTTAGGCGATAGACAATATGATAAGAAAATATTAGAGTAAGGGTAAGTATTTGAAGTTTTATCAATTCATGCTTGCATGTCTCTGCATGCTCTCGTATGTGTTTGTGTGTGAGAGAGAGAAAGAAGGAGATGGAGTAGTACCTGGATAGATGCACTCTGGTGAGGCAAAGAGGATTTAACCAGCAATATAGAGAAACCAAAAAGGAAAGAGATGTCAGAATTTTCAATTGAATTGATATCTAAGGGTGTGCATTATTCGGTTTTAAGGTTTTAACTGAAACAACTGACAGAACAAAATTTTCAGTTTTTTTGGTTAGATATTTTCGGTATTTTGGCTAGTTTCAGTTTCCATTTTTCATGTTTTCTGTTTTTCAGGTTTGTTTTCTTTTCTAAGCAAACATAGTTGCCAATTTTACCAAAACACAAACAAACCGAACTTAATTAACCCAAAATCGACCAAATGCACACCCTTAGGGATATAATCTTAGACTGAGGTTACATTTAGACCAAAGCTGATACATGAACCATATACTTGCCTTTGCTAGCAAAGAACGAGAAAAGACTTTACTCTCGGCTTGGTGAGCGTTGCACAGCCAAACAGTTTCATTTGTTGCTAAGGTCTTCCCTGGTAACCTGTGTAATAATTTTACACAACAATTAAATACCTAACAATAGTGAACACATCATGCACTATTCTTTTAAGAAGAAGATAGATATCGATCATTTACTTCCCTATCTACTCTAAGAACAGAACTAAACGGAGCATCGGTAATAAACTTCAAAACCAGAAAGGGAGCAACGCTTCACTTGAACATTAAGAAAACAAATGATTTCAGGAATAGACTAGAAAGATCGTTACTTTACATTATATGAGGTTATGAACTTTGCGTTTTATAACCAAGTATGGCCTAAGTGGGCTAAAAATTCTAACCAAGACATCAGAAAACAAACTCCATGCACAAGATATGGAATTTCAAGAAATTACCCTTGGCCAACATTGAAGACAAATGACATGCATACTAGGAAATACCACTCTGTATCAGTGAGATCTTCTGGAGATAATGAGGCCGACGGCCTTTTGGCCTGTGGCTGCAGGTCTTCTTCACTTTCACTTGTTAAGAGGGAACTATAAAGTTCTTTCAATTGCTCAGTTCTATGCAACCCCAGCTGGTCTTCATTAACTTCCCCCGCCTGAACAGTCTTCCTGGTCTTGATATCCCCATTATAGTACCCATCAATCCATTTCAACACCCTAGAAGATAATATCCCAGATTTTAGAACATTATCTTGAAAACATATTTACAATGCTACATTCCTAAAAGATATATATACAACAACATCATATCGAGTGTAATACCACAAGTTGGGTCTAGGGAGGGTAGTGAAAGACCCTCGGATCAAGTGCAACCATTGCAAGTAGTTACGAAAAAAGGAAAATACGGCAGTGAAGATAACATGCCAATCAATAAGGAAAACACTACTACGCTTTCAGAAAAAAGAAATCCTTGGCAGATAAACTCCGTTTTACTAAGCTCCCACTATGCACAGAGTTCAAGTAAATGCCGAACCACATTGGATCTATTGTATGCAGTCTTACCTGGCACTTCTGCAAGAGACTGTTTCCAACACCTTGAACCCGTCTATTGGCCACTCGGCAGGAAGTCTTACCATTGCACCAAAGAAGCTTCCCTTCTAGGAGGGAGATAAATTGTTGAAATCAAATTGATATATCCTTACTTCCTAACAGTACAAGAACTGGAACTAGGGATTGTACATGAATAAAGGGGTAACATAAGTACCATCACTCTTCACCTTAACCTCAACACTCCTTCCCATTCCAAATTTACCAGTCCTTTAATTTGAAGACTTTCTCTACTATAAAATTCAAGGAAGATACAACAACAACAAGTGTAATTGTAACTCCACGAGTCGGGTTTGAGGAGGTTAGAGTGTACCTAAGGTAAAAAGTTTATTTTCGATAAACCTTTGCGAAACCAAAAAAACAAATAAGTAAAACAAATACAGTAGCGAAGAAGTCATGCTAAAAACAATTAAGAAAAGAACAAGTTGAAGGAAAATGTTAGGCCTTATTACCCTGGTTGTGTAACTGCAGTTGACCAGAAGATTGCATAGCTCCATTGAATGCCTCTAACAGCAAGAGCAAGTTGCTTTCTCAAGTTGCCTGGGACTCCATCTTGATCTTGGTGTCCCATAGCCATTTTCAAAGCTTCAATCTTTTGTCTCACCAAAATGACAGTGAAGAAAAAATCAGCTCAAAATTCTAAAAAACGACACCAAAATCATAAAACACCAAGAAAGCATAAATCTTGAATCTTGATCCCAAATGGGATCTTAGTTCTCAGGACCACAACCATATTGGACCATACAAAGAGAATTTTTTAGTTTCAGATTTCAAGAAACAAGGCCAAAACAGCCATTTTTTCACAAGGATAATGTTAATGACTAAGTAGTAAGCACCCTTTTGAGCTAAAATCATAAAGATAGAGACTTGCTACAACTTGGCATATATTCCATAAATCCCCATAAGTTGAAATGTACAAGTGGGGTTTCAATGGTGGAGTAATTATGCTAAAGAATAGTACTGAAAAGATAGTAAAAAAAGGTTGAAAAAGCAATAAAAATCTAATCTTTAGGAGTCAGAAATTGAAACACTTAGGGCCTACAGTGAAAATCAAGAAGTGATTACTCATTTTCTCTGTGTGTTTTGCACCACAAGAAGTATAAATCAAAAATCATTAAATTTAGAAAACAAAATAAGCAGAAGGATTAGTACTGTCGAGATCAAAATTTTCACTAAAAAATTCAAATTATGAGTTATGTAAATAACAAGAAGCTACAACAAGCTCAATATCCATTATATATATATTATAGCTTTAATCATATATAAATATTGCTGGTTTAAATAAATCCCTCAAACTTATTTGACTCCGCTTTATTATGGCTAAGCTAAAGACAAAATTCAAGTGAAAGTTACCAAAATGATTATGACGTGAGATATAATTTTTCCCTTTTGATTTTGCTAATTTGAAGTCCAAATAAAGAATTTTGACAAGTATAAAAAATATTATTTACTTAATATATAGTTAGTCATTTAAATTTATTAGAATTAAAAAAAATTCAATTAGAACTTGTTTTAATTGAGTGATTCAACTCCTAAAAGTAGAGTAAATAAATTTTATTGCACCAGCATAAAAATAAAAGGAGATTATTTTTATAGAAAAAATATGGGCTCCTGTAAAGCAGCACGTGGAGCAATAATTGCCTAGGAAATGTGGGTCTTCACATCAATAAGAATTAAGATTTAAGAATACATAAATAAATTAGTTAATTCACAAAAGACGATAACTTTGAATTTAATTAATTAACGCACATGTATCATTAAGTTTCAATAATGGAAATAATTAGAATAAAATTGAGCTATCACGTGAAATGTTTACCATAAGATTATATTTTTTTCTCTTTTATATATCACTTAAAAAATATTAATTAAAATAGTTATTTATATGGGAAGAGATAATCTCTCTTTATTGAATATCTATTTGATTTATACGTCACCAATCACCATTACGATAGAGGCACAATCAAATAAAAATAACTCATGACTTTTTTTAGGTTTGAATTTTATTTGTTACAAATAATTCACTCAGTCACACAACTAGGTTCACCAAGATTATAAAGACACATAAAGAATGTCATGAGTATATACAAAAGTTTTTTCTAAAAAAAAATTTGAAAACGCTTATCATATTTCAAAAAATTATATTTATTTTTCACCATGTATATAATACGAAGCTCGAAAAAGAAAAGCCAGCGCACTTATGGATCCACCTCAAATCTATAATGTGATATATTAGTCAGAGTTATGTTTTAATCACAAATATTTTAGTTGAAATAAAATATAGGGAGTGGATCCAAGGATTCACTTTTTACACCAAGGATTCACTAGGTAAGTGAATTTTATAGTAGATTAAAAAAAATGAGTTGGACTCATCAATAGTATGATAATATTATATTTTATGTTAGGTGACAAATTCTGTGGGTAGTCACTTTCACATTTTAAGTCTCAAATTTCAACTCATTGGTGTTGTGGGGGTGGAAGGGACAAAAAAACAGGGATTCAATTATTGTTGAAGATCTAGTTTTCAATGACATGTGTCATCATATTTGTGTTTAGAGTAAACATGACAAACATCTTACATAGTAATATATTTTTATTTTCAAGTCCATCAAGACTTTGACCATTCGAGATCAACTGACCTGATTAATTCAGATTTGCAATTTGTGGAGTACATTCAAGAGGAAAAAGGTCCCTGAGGGGGAGTTCCTCCGGAATTTCTAACAAAACTTTCCACCTCTTGCTTTCATAGAAAAAAGAATTTAGGAGATGAAATCCCGATTACATTACTGCAGGCGACCGATTAAGGATGTTTGAATGTTTAATTTTCATACATGGATCTTCAAATAACAACTCTACTAAACAAGGATATGTAAATGGAGGAGAAACATTAGTACAAATAGTACAATGATATAGTGAGGTAAAAATTGTATGCAAAAGCAACAATGGTGAAAGCTTTTCTATGGGTTAGAAAATGTATCAGCCTTGCAATTCATTCAATTACACACTGTTTTATTCTTAAACCTTCAAAGAAGCAAGACTTAACTGGCATCTCACTCATATATAAAGCACCACAAAATATGTGCAGCTCACCTAGTTGACATCGTCCATCAAGACAGATCCACACTCATGGGAAACGAACTAGCCTATTTACAGCCGAGTCCAATGCATCTACGTTTCTCCGGATGATTTTCCTTCAAGGTATCAAGGAGTCACAAAGAACACATGATATATTGATTGGTTCTAAACAGTCATACTATGTCATTGCAGGGAGCAAGGTGCCCATGAATTCTTGTTCAAGACAATAAACGAAAAACTATTGATATAAAAAAGGAAAACAATGAAATGAAACCTGTCAGTCCACTGGTTAATTGCCAACTGCAAGGACAAGAATCACCATTGCATCCTTTAGTCAAACTTTAAACAAAGAATTGGTGGACGTGAATTGGAGACTTGTAGAAGAAATAATGTCTAACATCAAACCATAATCACATGGAAAGGATACAGCTGGGTTGCAAGATTATCAATTCCTTTCATTTCCTCGTTCAATCTGCGAAGAGAGAGTTAGCTTATAAAGATTTGCCAGAATAGTAGATTTTTGGAGTGGGAAGGATGTAATTATACTATTTGATGCAAAAATAGACCTGATACGAAACACGCAAGTTATATGTTCCCTATTTAGAGGCTTGACGAATTGCTTTACCAAAACCAAACGTACATGAATACCATAAACATCTAAGATGTTATACCATCTAAAGATAAGGACATTAACTTGGTGCTTCCTCCCAACTACCCCTTAGGGTGAGACTGATAATTTTTTTTTTCAGGAAGGTACTACAGGGACTTGACTAAAGAATAACAAAAAATACTACCTTAAGCAAGAGTTTATGTAACGGTTTCCTTTAGTTGCTGCATCAAGTGCTGCAAGATAAACAGCCAAACATTAATACTAGTGCAGCTCAACTTTAGTACATCACTTAAAACATGTTAATAAGGTATTAATGAAATGTGAATGCATTTAAGAAAATAAAATGAGGAAAGGAAAGATCTGGAATTTAATCACATAAAACTTGTCTTTCACTTTGGTAAGTATCCTCCTATTACATAACACACTTATCAAACTTCTTATTTTAATTATGATCACATTTTTATAAATAAAACTTTTTTCCCTAGAAAATCAAGTCTAGTTATCTGAATCTAATCTCGTTTCGACTTCACTCCTTATTTGGCTTAACTTCCTGTGCATATACTCTAATCTTACTTATACTTGTGTCTTTTCTTTTTAATCTGGTAAAGTAAAATTTCATTAACAAGATCCAGTAGATTCTAAAAATTACAAGCTGGAGCAGAAACGTTAGCTCCCGGAAACAATGGACCTTCTATAAACCTCCTAGGGAGCTAACAAAATTATTTGCACTGGTGGTGGTTACTCCAGATTTGTGAGCAATCTGTATTCCAGAATATGGATAGGAGAGGGGTTTCCTTCAAAGCATCCACTATTTCTTTCTACCACAGGCATCAAAGAATAGAAGCTGGGAAAAGTTCGCCAATTTCCCAATAGACTTCCTTACATTCTGTTACTTCTACCTATCCTAAATCTCTTACTCTCCAGAATAATTCTCCATAATTCAAGTTTTAGGATGACACCCTAACTAGTTTGTCCTAGTGGTAAATAAGGAGACATCCAAAAAAAGATAACTATGCAGAAAATTGGTCAAGAGAAATCCAGGCGTCTCATGCATAATGCATTTGGGGTTAGCAGAACAGAGATAAACCTCTTGCAGTCACATCTAGGATGAAGTTTGAATTAATGATCACTGGCAAAACCAAGTGTCCTCATCTTCTAGAACAAGGATTACTAAAGCAACAAAGAGAGAAGCGGAAAAATCAATTCTTCCACTTTGCCTACAAATAAAGCTGGTACATCCATGGTACCAACTTATGGCAGTTAAATTCTTAATGAACCTAAGAAGGTTTTCTTTTAGAATATTGATGAGGTGCATGTTTCCAAGAGAACTGATAGATAAGTGCGCAATACTATGTTAGATCTTGTGTTTATCTTACCTCAAAACAACATTTGTGGGATCTAGCGTGAACTTAAAGACAGTCATTCTTAGTCTGTTGAATAAATAATGAACGAACAACAAGCAGAATAAAAGAAAAACTATTGATGTAAGGACATCAACAACTGAAGATGAAGAGGTAAAACCGTAAAAGTATATACCACATTCTTGAACTCGTCCTGCTGCATCACCAAAGCAGATCATGTGATCAACAGAAGTACTAGTAACCTGCAAAATCATGTTATCTCCTTTAAACATGGACAGAACACACACATGAAAAGAAAAAGAAGTTCTAATATCAGGTGTCAAATGCATGAAGTCCACTAAATTGTAATGCTTTTTGGCACTTTGTGGTTCATAATTACATGGCACTATGCCATCTATGGCTAGAATTGCATTTCGCCATCTAGATTCACCCAAAAGTCTCACTTAGTCATCGGATAACTTCTCGGCAAAAGTCACTGAAAGATTGTCATATGACAGTCACATGCCATACTAAGGATAAATAGGTAAAATCGAACTAATTCTTCCCAATAAGATTGACATCTCATCCAATCGTTTCTTATTATAAAGTAATATTTTATTAATCTTGTGGGAGAAGAACTCCGTATACAAGCAATCTATCAAAAAGAAGAGAACTAGTGGTTCTCTCTGAAAGCGACTTAATCATTTATACAGACAGTAATCTCTCCGGGCAGACAAAAAATTAAACAAAAACAACGACATGTCCTAATTGGTAAACTTGCATTCCAATTTCCACCCCTTCAAGTGGTCTTTCCTTTCCTCCAAAGTACCATACAAGTGCCACTGGAGCAACATTCCTAAATCTTCATCAGAAACATGACAGTCACATGACCTGAAACCCAAGTGCAATATCCCAAGAGAAGATAGATAACAAAGTATAACTCTACGCAGAATAAGCAACAACGTACCAAACCGTTTAAACTACAAGTGAAAAGTGTCAAATGTGATGCTTAGAAGAGATCATATCAGAGAATTCAGAATGCTATGAATTGAAAAAACCTTGCTATCTACCCAGATGAAAACTGATTCCAGTTTAGAAATTTTACCAGCAAAATGCACAATCAAACAGCAGGCAAAGAGGCTAGATCACCATGTAGCTCGCTGATCATCATACGCATATTCTATCCAACTACTCATTCCAGTTTACCATTTTTACAAGCAAAATATACAATCAAACAGCAGGCGAAGAGCCTAAATCACCATGCACCTCGTTGATCATCATAAGAACACTTTTCTATCCAACTACTGATCCAGTTCAGAAATTTTACAAGCAAAATGCACAATCAAAAAGCAGGCAAAGAGCTTAGATCACCATGCAGCTCGTTGATCACCTTAAACATGCTTTTCTATCCAACTACTACTTCTTCGCTTAATTCCCAAACTAACTAAGATAAGCTATATCTATACTCAACATCCACTCCAGTTCATTATAAATTGAGGATTCTCTAAATCTCACAATCATCCCTCCACTGACATACAATCATCTCAAACCAAATTAAAAAAACAAAAAAGACTCTCTTTTTATCAGTAACCAAATTAAAAAGAAACGTGCCAAACACTGAACATGATGAAGGACTAAAGATAATTACTTTCAGATAACACTATCTCAAAGCTACGCCACTATTTGCAGCAGTGGCCTCAACACCACCGAGTACTAAGATTATGAGGAAATGCAAGAATTAAGGACAGAAAGAAGAAACCTCTGATAAAGTTGATCGAAGAGAAGCAAAAAGTGAAGTGTAGCTATGGGCGATCGCCATAGAATCTCTCTCCACAACTTCGATTGCTTTCAGTATTTCTTTGCCATTTAAAGACGACGATGTTTGAGATTCCGCATTTTCGTGATCACCACATTCCCCTCTTTGTTGTTGTTCTTCTTCTCCATCTCTGTCATCGTCTGTTATCAGTTGATTCTTCTCTTCCTCCTTCTCTGGAACTAGGGTTTGGTTCGATTCCATTTTCAGATTATCAATTTCGGGTCGAATTGCTCCCCCAATTTTCTGAAACATTTTCTTGGGCTTTTTGTATTCTGAAAGCGAACAATAATGGGCCTCAACTTCAGCCCAGAACCTAAAGCCCACTTTCTTTTGTAGGCTATCCTACATAGGAGCTCATGGTCCACGTATTAACTCCGTTCTAATTTATTTGTCCTGTTTTGATTTAACACTTCGTTTACAAAAAATATTTTTTTAAAAAAAATCGTGGTCTCAGATCACGAGATCAAACGATATTTTGATAATATTTGACATATTTTAAACTCAACCCCACAATATTCAAATGTTTTTTTTTAAAATACCGTCATAGTCGAAATTAAAGAGTTGCAAAAAAAAAAAAACCTTTCTAAAACAAATTAAAATTAAATAGGACAAATAAATTGAATTGAAAGAGATAACTGTTATACCGAAATTTAAATTCCTGTACTAACGTATAATAAAGCCAAATATTTTTTAACTCAATGAAAATGAGAAGGGTGATGCGTATATCTTATTTCTATCTTGTGAATATTCACATCATAAGATTGAGAGTTTTTTTTCCGATAAATTGTTGACTCAAACCATTTAACCTATCAAATAACAATATTCTCATTTCTTTTTGTGAGCATATAATTGTAGAGATTCTTTGCTTTGGTAATTGGAATGGAACAAAGCCAAAATTTATTTATTTATTTTTAAAAAGTGGCGAATATTGTAAAGCCCATAAGGTATGCACGTTTTAGTGATCGTGACTGCAACTTCATAATATTAATATATTTTGTAAAAATAATAATATTAAAGGGGTATTTATTATATCATTGATATAAAAAAATAAATTTAAAATTTTATAAATAAGTCATAAGGGGGTGAACCCACTCCTAAAATGTACTGCCACGTGTACTACTGTAAAAAATGTAAAAATAAAAATATAACATAAGATAACAAATAGTATAAGGCGGGAATACAATTCCAAAAAATAACATAATGTGGGGACCACACGTATTTTAAATTTTGAACTTTTGAAAAGGAAAAATAAATAAATGCAAAAAATTACGCACAATCATAAAAGGAAAATCCAACAAATTTTGACAACAATTTATTTTTTTTTTTTAGATTGGACGGTTCGAGGTAGAGAAGAAAATATTCATTCTAAATGAGAGTTTTAAATTTGATTTTTGATAGAGAACTTTTTAAGGTGAGATTTTCTGTATAAATATGAATTAATCATACTCTAAAAATAAATAATAACATAAACAAACAAATAATAAGCAAAAAATGAAAGCAATTGACTTGAATCTTTTTTATCTTCAAATTTGTCGAATAATATCAAATATATCGAATTTGTTAATTTATTCGTCGTATATTAGAAAATTTAATTATGTGATAGTTCCAATAATAAAACAAATTTGCAATATGTAACGTGCTATAGATTTTGTCTGAGGTCCAAGTGTTGCTAGCTAGCTTCTCAACACATTGCTAAACTGGTACAATGTACGATGTTAAAATCAAAATTATCAATATAATCTATCAAAAAAATTAAAATTTAGCTATATTTTATTTTTTTTTGTAAAAAATCGATAAATAGTTAATTAATCACAAAACTCGTATAAAATAGAAAATTGATCAACTCATTGTGAATACGAGATACAATTATGTTTTAATCTTTAACTTGTACATTAAAAAAAAAAACTTAAAAATAATATTATATTCAATAAAAAATATTTTTATATTAATATTTAGACTATTATTATTGTTATTATTTTTAAATATTTTTTTGTAAAAATAGTAAAGTAAAACCTGAAATTCAAAGATGAAACCCAAAAGAATTCCCAAGAAATAGGGGCCCTTTGCGATGTCATCATCGTCGCTTTGCTTGTAAAAAAAAAACCGGTATTTCAAGAACAAGCAAAACCAGAAAGAGGGCTTTCAAACATCACAGATTCAATCTCTACTTTACAAAACTAAGTGAAATGATTCACCAATTTCTCGATCCAGAGGTTTAATTAGCTTCAAATTTTCAAGATCTCTTACATTTTCAGCTCATTCTGGTTTGTAACTATCCAACATTATCAACTTTTTTTGGTAATTATATTTGTTTATAAGGGGTTTACTTGATGTGGGGTTGTTCAAAATGTGTTCTTTTTTAGTTTTGGGATGTGGGGTTTCTTGATTTTTGGTATTTTTTGGGTGTGAAGTTGTTAAAGTTTCTTGCTTTTTCATATTTTGGGTGGAATAATTGATAATGTACTTGAATTTTTTCATAATGGGGGAAATGGGAAAATTAGTGTTGATTTTTTCAGCATTGTTGTGTAGTATGTGTGTGTGAGAGAGTGAGGTTTCTTGATTAGGGATATCATTCAAAAATCTTGTTTGTTTTATATAAATCTGGCTGAGTTTTTGTGTGTGTTTGTATGTAGCTGCTTATTCTAGCTCAGTGTGTTTTGGGTGTTAATTGTTAAAGTTTCTTGCTTTTTCACATTTGGGATGGAAAAATGCACTTGAAAGTTTTCATTAAGGGGGCAAATAGCAAAATGGGTGTAGATTGTTTTAGCATTATTGTGCGGTGTGTGTGTGAGGGAGTGAGGTTTCTTGATTAGGGGTATCAAGTTTTGTTCTTTTAACCAAAATCTGATTTTTGTAGTTAGTTCTTATGGAGATGCCTATTCTAGCTTAGTGTTTATTTTGTGTGTAGAAACACAACTCTGAGTAGTATTATTCTTTTAATTTTTCCTTATCCTTTAAATGACTTCATATAGAGCTAAATGGATATTGAGGATTATGTCACAGTAATTGTTCTTACTTCTTTCACGGATGGATAAATATAATATTTGGTAGATGTTTTGTATAAGTTGTTTCCTACCACTCGGTTATGGTGTTAATTTACTAACGAAATCTAGTTGATTGAATTATAGAATGTTCCCATGATATTCGGGAATGATATGACGACTAACTTTTGCTGAGAATGCATGTTTTGTGAGCTTTGTTGGTTTGAATCCAACATTTCAAGCAGAAGGTTTCTATGAAATAGTTTAACTCGCTTAATCCACATTAAACTTTTCTCCATATAAGAAAATAATTTTAAGATGTACTGTTTTTCTTAGTCTTCAATTTGACATTACGTGCAAGAGCACAAGTATCATAAATATTTTGATTGAGGATCCAAGATGGGTTTTTCAAACTATAACCCACATTGCTAAAATTGGTAGCTTCACTATAATAACAATAAGAACTTCTTTCTGGGGTAAGTACAATAACCAAAAGAACTTTTTCTTAGGGAAGTTAATAACCATAAGAATTTCTTTCCTTATTAGTGATGAATGGTCGATCTACTTATGTGATTGATTTTGAGATCCTTGGCAGTTGACATCTATAGTTTTTGATCCTTTAAAATGAGACAGAATAAGATTCTTGTGAAGATAGATAGACACTCATGAAGAAAGAAATATGATGTCTGATAGTGCTCATAACTCATTGTGAATCCTAATCCAAGACAAAAGATTTCCTGTCCAGATGGAAAATGTCAGACAATTGAACAAAGGAATCTGTTCTAATGGAATGATATGTATAATCACACAGTTCCATGTGCAAAGCATTGTTTGGTCATTCAATGTCAGTGGAAGTCAAATAAAGATATGCACGTGTTGTTTTTATTTGATGAAAATAAGATTTTAATCTCATTTTAGTTGTGTACTGTCATCTCTATTTGCCTTTCGTTGCTTTTGGCTGAAGAATAGGCTTTAATATAGTCATGCTAGTATATTTCGTTCTAGTAGTTTGATCATCGCCTATTCAATTACCTAAAAGTGAACTGACTTATATAGTAACATATTCTTGTTTGTTTACTAGCAGTGCTCTCTGTAGTAATCCTGCAAAAGCATATATCAAGTTTATCATGAATCCAGAAGCCGCAACTGAAAATGGAGACTCAGCCAGTTTAAACGAAATTCTTAACTTCAAAGGAGCTGCAGAAGGTAATCCACATCTAAAGTTTTTGGTATTCTCAGTCCTTTACCTATATTATTCAACTATTGGAAAATTACTTTACTCTGTTTTAACAATGTAATATAGAATTTGACCATTGGGCAAATCTAAATCTCAGTTCCAGAAGATTTAAATTGTTCCTTCCCGTTTTTCCTTTTCTTTTTCTTCCCTTACTATCTCTTTAGTTAGTTGGCTGAACATTGGAAATGTTAAACAAGATGTAATAGTTTTACATCAGAGCAGCCCTCAATTAAGGATCTCAAATTCGGTCTAGTTTACCCATTCAGGTTTTGTTTGAGCCCTTTTGCCAACTTCATAGCTGGTATCTGTTAAATTTTCTAACAGTTCCTCATGTAGGAAATTTGAAGTCTATTTTGGCATTTCTGATCTCCTTGGTTCCTTTCATTAGACAGTTTCACCCTCATATATCTTTTCATTACTAACCATTGTTTTGTCCCTGTCACACCTTTGACAGGCCGTCAAAAACAATTCCACCACTTAGTCTGCACTTTACCAATTCAAGAATTTTCACTACAACCAGATTGAGGTTCATTACCATTCCCCTGAATTTAAGGCCTAGCACTCTGGCTCTGCACAACATCCAACTATCTTTGAAGAACTTTTTTTTTTGCGGGGAAGTTTGCATAAAATAGTGCATTAGAAACATCTGTGTTGTGTCATGTATGGATTCTTTTAGAGCATTAGTCAATGGTAATCTTTCTGCCGTAGATTTACTTCTCTCACTTACTTAGAGCTTTAATTTTCAGATAATCTTGCTGAGAGTAAATTGTTTGATGGAATCCAATCTAAGCACGGTTTGGCTGATATTCCAGCTGCTAAAATCTCAGAATTGATGAAACTAAACAGTTTAGAGGTAAAGCTGGAATGGGTCTTCAGCTTGGTGTTAACTTACTTTCTTTTATATTGTTTGTGCCGTCTTGGGATTTCCTTAATTGAACTGACTTTTATCTTCAGAGTGCCTCCACTCATTCACTTTTCAGTGTTGTGAGTAATATTTTGGATGACAGCATTGAGAGAAAGAATGGGGATATACCTCAGGTATGGCAGAT